CCCCCCCCCACTGCAACTATATGTCTTCCATCACGCCAACAACTGAACTTGTTTTTGTCGGAGGATGGTGGGAGGGGGGCTGGGGTAGTTGCACATGTGCACTTGGCATGCAACTGCAAGTGTCGCGCCCGACTGCAATTGCATGTCTTCCATCACGAACGCAACTAGACATTTGTTTTGTTAGAATGCGGTGGGAGAGGGCGGGGGCAGTTGCACGTGTACACTAGGCATGAAACTGCAAGTGTGCCCCCTAACTGCAATTGCATGTCTTCCATCACACTCGCAACTAAGATTTGTTTTCTTAGATGGAGGTAGGAGAGGGGGCAATTGCATGTATGGCACTAGGCATGCAACTGCAAGTGTAGCGCTCAACTACAAATGCATGTCCCCGTAACACAAATGCTATTGGTCTTTGTTTTCTCTGATGGGGGCACGAGAGGGGGGAGTTGCATGTTTGTGACTAGGCATGCAACTGCACGTGTAGCGCATCGACTGCAACTGCATGTCCCCTAATGCGGGTGCAACTAGGCTTTGTTTTGTAAAATGGAGGCACGAGATGGGGTAGTTGCAAGTGTATGTTAGACATGCAACTATAACTGTGACGCCTAGCTGCAGCTGCATGTCTACCCACCCGACTGCAACTCACCTTTGTTTGTCGAGGGGCAGTGGGGAAGGGGGCAGTTTCATGTCTGATACTAGAATGCAACCACAAGTATCACCACCGATTGCAATTGCGTGCCTACCCATCCGACTACAAGTGACCTTTGTTTTATCGGAGGGCGGTGGGAGATGGGGGAGAGATGCATGTCTCACACTAGGCATCCAACTGCGGTCATGGCCCTCGACTGCAGCTACATGTATGGCAACTAGTATTAGAGATACATTAATTAATTTGTATTTTTGTGTGATTCTTTCCGCATTAGGAATTGGATGTCTTCCATCAAGCCTATGTTTGCCACTAGGCATACAATCGCAAGTGTTGTATGTACTGCAACTTGGTGGTGTTTTACGGAGGTGCTGCCACTAGGAGAGGGCCAACCATCGTATCATTGTCTTATTTATTTTCTTTTTTTCCATGATTTACATTTAATACATTTTTTGTAAATACATGGTGAACATTTCCGTAAAACACATGATAATTATTTTATTTAAATACGCGATGAACATTTTTATATTATGCGGTGAAAATCAGATAAATGTGTGATGAACATTTCATAATATACAATGAACATTTTTATGAATACACGATCAATATTTTTGTATAAATATAAGATGATACAAATATAGGACGACCATTTAAATACACGAAAACACGAACAAATTTAATTTTACACTATATAGATTGCTTCTCATTTTTAAAATTAATTTTCATAGTTTTCTTTTGGATCTATGAAAAAAGCTGAAATAGGACATGAGCTGGCACAACAAACACTATTGGCGTATGTAAGGCAACTGTTTTGCTGGCTGTAAGAAATACATGCACAACACAGTACACCTTTTTTGTGGCATGGAACTATTTTATATATTTTACTAGTTTTTTTAGCAAATATATCTTTTACTAGTGTATTTTGCTGTTGTAGAAAAGACAAAAAGCCCAAGTAAGGGAGCAAGCCCGACAGAAAGAGGAGACAAGCTAAGAAACACAACCCAACAGGAGACAAACTATGTAGTACTACGCACCTGAGGATCAGTCGTAACATCTGATTGTATACGTGCTTACGTCTGTCAACTGAGACTTCGTCAAGTCTAAGTCGACTGAGACGTAGACAAACCCATCTTGCTTTTGCAAAGGCTCTGATACATTTTGCCTATAAATAAAGGGAGGGTCAAGATCGATCGACAGCGCTAGTGAAGTAAATTGCACAAAACGATCACTTTAAAAGGCTAAATTAGCAGAAGACACTACCTTACATTTTTTCTGACAGAAAACATCACTCCTACGCATAATTGTTCTGCAAACAACACAAATCGGTAGCTTTAGCTCGGTTGACCGCGTTTATGACAGATGGGCCCAACAGTCAAGTTGATGTGGCACCGCTTAACACGTCGCATGTAACGGCGACAGTTTGGGACATTGTCTGCTTGTGTGGGATCCACTTGTCATTGTAAGAAAAAAGAAAAATGTTTGTTTCTTTTTTCTCTCTCCGTGCAGCCGCAGCAACGCCCGAGGTGCGCTCGTCCCCGAGCTCTTCCCCCGTGCGCCTCCTCCCTCTGTCCGAGCGCCACCCGTCCCCGAGAACGACAGGACCTCCTCGTCGCCGGAAACCTGTGCCTCGCCGCCGGAAAACCACCAGGCCAGCCGCCGTGGCCCCTCTCCTCCCATCTTCTCCTCTGTTTCTGGCATGTTTTCTCCCTCCTCTGATCTCTATCTCTCCCTCGTTCTTCTTGCAGTCGCCGTGCCTTGCTCCCACCCAACGACATCGCCGTCGACGTCCGCCCTCGTCTCCCAAACGAGATCTGGCTGCCAGGCTCCTCCACGCGGAGGGCCTCCTTCGCCCCCGGTCAGATCCGTCGCCGTTGAGTCCATTTGCGACAGGATCCACCGAGGTGAGGTGCTGCAGCCACGGCTCCTCCTTTGGCCGAGCAGCAGTATCATCAGGTTAGGATGGAGGACGGCAGGTCGTGTACCGCATCGCCTTCACGGACTTCCGCGGCGGGCCCGGCACCTTCGAGGCTGCGGCCAAGTTCTGTTGTGCCGTCCGCATCGAGCTCACGCCCTGGAACGTCGCGCTGCTGCGGTGCGCGACGGAGTACCTGGAGATGACGGAGGAGCACGCCGAGGACAACCTGACCGCGCGCGCCAAGGCCTACCTTTCGCAGTCCGTGCTCCGGCACCCAAGCGAGGCCACCAAGGCGCTCAACTCCTGCGAGGAGCTGCTGCCACACGCCGAGGACCTCGGCATTGTCGGCCGCTGCGCGGAGGCCATCGCCGCGTGCTTGTCGGCATCAGCGCGCTCCTGGTTCGGCCGGGCAACGGTGACGGCGGGTGGTGAATAAGGCGAACCAGAATTCTTTTATTTGTTTCAATGACAGGTGGACCCCATAGGGCCACACAAGAGGACAACATTAGTCAACACCGCCGTTACATATGAGACGTTAATCCCTGCCACGTCAGTCTGACTAGCGGGCTCAATCTGCCATAAACATGCTCAAGTGAGGCGAATCCGCTAATCAGCGTTTTTCGCAAAAAATTACATAAGATGTGGTGTTTTCTGTTGAGAAAATG